AAGAATTACACAACTGGATACTGCCATAGGAAGGGATAAATAATATTTTAACCAAATCCAAGAGATTTGTGTGAGACGGAATTTTTGATCTCACAGTATGTGAAAATGAAATCATGTGAATTCGCAATTCACATGTGAAATTCAAATTTACATATTAATATGTGAAATTCAAATTAGCCAATCAGAATTAAAAATCTACACAAAAATTATGAAATTTAGAAAGGAACTGCAGCATGAAAACCTTTCTTTAACCGTTATTATTCTCAAAATTTTATATTTTATACTTTTATATAATGTCTCATGTTAAACTATTATATATTCATTATCACCAGAAAGAAAGGATTTTTTATATAAAATTTATATTGAAATGTTTAATAATGCAGCAGTTAATTCTGGTAGAAAAGATTATTTTTTTTCATTGGTAAAAAAAAAAACAAGGAGCTTTTCTAAAGGTGCAAAAGAATTTTGTAAAGAAAGGTTTATTTATGAGTTTGAATTAAAGAATGCAAAAATAAATTGGGAAAGCCAAAAGAATGTAACAAGTGTAAATTAACAAGATATTCTGATAGATTCTGTGAAGGTTGTATTAATTTACAATTACAGAGTCTTTTCACCACTTGGACATCTAGAAATAACATAATTGATGATTTTATTCAACATTGTCAAATGAAATCATCTCTGCCAAGCTATATTTAGAATGGATACCTTTTGAGCAATTTAAAAAGGTAACAAAGTGACAGAAGGTGGATTTGGTTCAATTTATACTGTTGCATGGACAAGAGGGCAAATAAATGATTATGATGAAAATAAAAATGAATTTAGTTATTCAGCAGGGTGGGAGTAGTATTAAAAAGTTTAAATAATTCAAGTAATCCAGGAAAAGCCTTTTTGATGAGGTTGGTAGTTGTCATTAAAACAAAATAAACAATACTCTATTATATAATACCAATTGATTTATATTTATTTTCAGGTAATGAATTATTGTAAAATTAAATCAGGGTTGGTTGTTAAATGCTTTGGTATAACTAAATTCCCAGATAATGGAAATTATGCAATGGTTATCTAAAGGAAATTTAAGGGTTACTTGCAAAAAAAATCATTTAAATTAAAATCATTGAATGTTTATGCGATTTATTATATGATATACATGAAAAAGATTTAATCATAGTGGTTTACATAGTGGTAATTTGTTATTGCAAGGAGGTGGTTGTTATATTACAGATTTTGGGTTATGTGGACCCAGTTGATGAAAAGTCATCAAATAAAATCAATGGTCTCTCCAGTAATAACGTTGTATATATAATAATAACGACAATTATTTTATGTGGTCGAATGTAGAAGGTTGAGTTCCGTGCGCTAAAATGGCCTGAGAGTAATTTCTCTACGAAAAAATAACAAAAAAAAAGTTTGGACGGCTGTCCTATTCATATGTTTCGAATTTAATAAAATAGACTATTGTCTTGGCCCGAGTGATGTCATTTTTTTGCTCTTTGCGACGAAGAAGACGCAAAACCCAACTTGATTGATTTTTATTCTCGCGTAGCACGGTATGCGTGTTTTGTAACATGAAAAGCAAAAGCTCACATTGCGTTCTCAGTTGTAACCTTGTTACACTTACTTATCAAATTCTTGAACAGGATTTTCCGTGTTGATTTTTCTTTTCGTGTGACTTTTCGTTTTACTAAATTCGATTTAAACCTGTTCTGATTTTGGAAAGGTGGTTAACCCCACACTTTCTAACTTAAAATTGATAATTATTATTATTGCATTAATTCATAATAAGGACACAGTCCTTCATCAAAATAGTAATAACGTTTATTTATTGTAACATATATAATATATGAATAGGTAATGGTTTTTTGGAATGTACTTTAAACATTCATACTCTAACTATTAATTACTGCTTCTTTTGAAAGAGAATTGATTTAAGCAGACCGATACTGGATTTGTTTAAGCAAGGGGCAGATTGCATACCATTAAGTGGAGCAACGGGGTCAGGTTTGGGAGAAAGTTCAAAAACATTTTCATCATCTTGCAAAGGCTCAAGGTTTAACACTTGATGAGCGTGAAAAGGATGTTTTTGTAACGATTAATTTTTTTGTTTTTTTGAATAGTACAACGGATTTGTATTTCATTTATCATATTTATATTTATTCTCTCCATCATCCCAATTGCATGAAAAAACTGTTACGAGATTTTTTATTGTTCAATATAATAAAAAAACAAAGAAAATAATTACATTTATTTTACACATAAAAAAAAGCCCTAAAATAACAAACCGAACAGCAACGATCAAAGCACGTTGTTGTTGTTATCTGAAATCGAGGTATTGCACTCGTCATTGTTGTCAGTAGAGATGTGCCATTCATAGTAACCGTGATTTTTTTTCGCGCATAGCGCGCATAGTGCACATAGTGTATATATATCTTAGGGAGGGAAATATCATAAATGCACATATAATAATAAGAAAGTAAATGGTATATTTAATTTTTTTTTAGAAATGTTTATTAATAAGTAAATGTCTATAAAAAATATATCTAAAACCTTATGCGTAACACACTATCCGTGGCACATCTCTAGTTGTCAGCGTTTTCAATTGCTAGGTTTGCTAGTTTATGTATCTTTAATTTTGTTTTCATGGATGCTTTGTCTTTTCTTTTTCGTGATGGACTTTTTGATCGTGAACATGATTTCCCTTACAGCCTCTACTAATGTTGTTTGATGAAAAGTTATCAAAGTTGTAAAATTATTACGTCAAATTCGTCTTTAAAGGATAATAAAATATAAAAGATCACAAAAAGTCTTGCAAGTATATATTCCATGGTCTTTTTTTTTTATATTTTTCTTGTGTATTCCAATCTCTCCTTTGTTTCATCAGTTGTTCCCAAGGAGCTAAGTTTTTCTATTGCTAAATACAAATTTGTTCAATTATTAAACGATCGGGTAAATTAAATCATCAATTAGGGATTCAGTAGTTTATGTTTCAATGTCAACAATTTTATTAACTTTTTATAATTATTATCAAATTACTTTGTAAATAATTATGGAGGTTTTATAATATCAATATTGATTGATTAAGTTAATTTGCAATAATAAACCATATTTATCTTTGTCCTTATTGTAGTGATCAATGAAAATTTCATTAATTGACGATCCGTGAATGAATGAGAGAATCTTTGTGTGATTGGCGGGGCAAAAATGTAAAAAAATCACAATAAAGCACAACGTTTCTGTATTACAAACTTATTCTTTTTATGTAATATATAAAGTAAATCTCATAGATTACTGTATTAAAATATTAAAAGGTTTGGAATGTTTCTTGAAAACTTTTGTATGTAGGCCGCTGAGATTTCAAGAAGTCAATAATATATAAAAATTCAGAATTTTTTAACTTTCAGCCAACACTATCAAGTATTCTGACCAGAGTTATGCTCTTTTTTTTATCGGTTTATTAACAAAAAAACTTTTATTTTAATAAAACCCACCAAATGAACCTATGTATTGTTATAAGTCAAGTCAATAAAATAACTGCAAAAGAATTTTAAAGAGGTATTTAACAAGCCTGAAAGAATTCTAAGGTTGTTTTCTATATTTTTTGTGTGTACATGAGAAATAACTTGTGAAGATGGTGAGATTTGGGGTATTTCTTATTTTATTAATAACAATTAGCAACAAAATTTCATAATAAAATGATTGACATTGCACCCATTTATAAACGGATTGCCAATTAAGCATATTGCCAAGGAGATGCTTTGGATACACTAAATTAGGGATCTTTTATCCAGATTGTAAGATAAAAGAGTTATTGGCTGTAAATCAGAGGTTCTATGAACCAGATGTGTGCCATAGGTAAGCTATCTAGACTAATGGTTGTAAGATAGTAAGATCAACTGTAATTCAGAGGTTCTAGGAAAACTAGACATGTGTTGATATTTGGACTTAGGGTCAGTGGGTAGAATAATTCGGGGGCAAAGCAAGACCAGCTGTGTGCCAAACATAAGAACTACTTGGTAAGTAAGTAACTTGATTGCACACTTGCAGTATAAAAAATGTTTTCATTATAAAAGCCACATATGGAACAAAAAAAAAAATAAACAATTCACTTAGGTAATTGCAGAAAAAGATGCAACATTGGAGGATTTGAAATCTCCGAACTTACCCTTCCTGATGACACTGAAACTGAAGATGTCACTATTTATATAAAGAATAAGCAAGAGAAACATCTTATTTCAAATAATGAAGATTTATTGAGATATTTCTGAAGTAAAATAGGATTCCAAAATGATGAAGCTGATGTTAATTTAATTGTTGAAACTGGTGATTATTCCATGTGAATATTTTAATCCCCTTAAAATTATTTTCATTTAAGAAAGAGTTACTAATACTACTTTGATTACATAATACAAACATCATTTAGTCAATGGACTTTCTCAAAGTTTAAAGAATTGTTTAATATTGGAGGGAACAATTACGCAAGAAGCTATAAAAAATTCCGAATTCTTATATATTATTGACTTCTTGAAATCTCAGCAGCCTCCATCCACAATTTTTAAAAATGTTATTACAATGTAAGATAATTGCTTTTGTATCAGTGATTGGCTCTACTGAAGGATGTCACTGAAAATTTATTTCATCAGCTATGAAAACAAGGTGAAACTATCACCTGGATATGAAATAGCTGGTACTTGTGAGAATGGTTCCTTGGATCAGGCAATTCTGTAATCAGAGGAGTTACAGAAGCTAAAAAACAAGATTACATAGCTCAAAATTCAATCTGTTATGCAGGTAAATAACTTTGGTTAATATATTTTTACAAAGTTTCAATTTTCTCATAAATTATGCAATATTATAGATCAATGACCCACAAAAAATTCACCATTGAATGTAACATTTGTTTTAAAAAAATGTTATTCTCAATCACAATTTTGTATAAATCTTTGTGATTATTTGCTTGTTTTTTAAACCAAAGATTTGATATTTGATTTTTTTACCTGAAAACTAAGTGAATTGGTGGTTTTTATAATGTTCCAACACAAAGCAGGATTGTTTACTTTGTTTCAATGTCAATGTCATATTCTTGAATACAAAATTTGTTTTCATAAAGGAGAATTGTAGTCAGTGAAAAAATAAATAAATCAATATTGTAATAATAAGAATCATTCCCTTTCTAACGATTTCTGTTTTTTGTTGGGTAATAATAGTACACTTTCATTATAAATATATCTTTTGAAAATAAAAAATTTTTTTTGAATAAATTAATAATTATAATTATAATTGGTTA